TGATACTTTAATAATTCAAATCCTCTGTTCACTTCCAGAATACCCATTCCCAGTTCCAGATTTAAATACAATGACCCACTGAACTCTGGCTTTCAACAGATCTTTCATTATTCGATCCTTGTCCTTATGGAACTTATTCCTATCCTACATCCATTGCTCCAGTACTCTCCCCACTCTTTAAATCCTGCCTATTCAGTCACTTCCTATCCACACAGTTCCCAAAAAATTGTAAATAAGTGGTTCTTTAAATATTTATGTTAATTTTTAGTTTGTATTCAATAACTTTCATTTCACTTTTTTAAAAATTTATTATTATAGAAGATAACTTATAATTTAACTTTATTTCTATTTGTGTATTCTGTTATTCTTTTCTATTTACATCAGAGGCTTTAAAGACATTCTGTTGTATTAACCATTTTTCTAGTTCCATGATTATTGTATTTCAAATTAATGCTAGAACTTAATTTATTTTATCTCTGTGATATAAAATTTTTAGTTTCACAATGTCACACAAATTTAACAAACAAATATCATTAGAGCATTGATATTGTTAATTGCTGATAAGAAAATAAATTATAAATGCAATAATTATTACCATTAAGGATTATTAAAAAACAACTATAGGTTTTAATTAAAGCTTGACAATTAAAAAAATAGTATTTAAAAATTAAAGAAAGGTAGAAGGAAAAGAACACACACGCACATATATATAGTTTATTTAATACATATATATACATAACTTAAATGTTGTTGACATATAGGTGTAGACAAATTCCATCACAAGATCTGAAAAAAAAAAATCACAAATATGAAAATATAAATTCTACTTAACTGTAAATGACTAACTATAGTTAGTAATAGAATACTATTGCTATTTTAAGAAGTAAATTTAAAATATGATCTGGATTTTTTCAAATGAATAATTTAGTATCTTAGAATATTATTTATATTTTATAACAATGGAAGGGGGATCCTCAACCTCTTACGGGTCATTTTAGCCCTTACAAAATATTTATGTTACATCAAATTAAATTAAATTTAACAATGAAAACACAAAATATTTAAAACAAAAGAAAAAAAAAGAGTCAGCAAAATTTAAGTTTTGTTGTATAGGTACATTATTTGTAGAAATTTAAAGAGTTTTTTTGCCAATTTGGTGTTGTTTTTTTTCAAAATTTCGGTTATGTCATTCTCCAATTCAACTTCATTCCGTTGTGTTTCATATGCATTACACTCGGTCAAAATGTGCCTGACTGTTAAAGCGACCCCGCAGCAGAGACACTGAGGGGACGTCCCCTTTGTCATTAGGTACTCATGGGTTAGCCGTGAATGGCCGATTCAGAGTCTTGTCAGTATTATTTCTTCTCTTCTATTTATCTGAAGGTCCGCTCGATTTGATACTACAGAGGGCTCGATCACTCTCAACTTATTCTCTCTTAACACATGCCAGAGACCTTGCCATTTTTCCAGAGCCTTTCTCTTTACCAAAGCTATGACTTCTTTTGGAAAACCATCCCCTACTGGAGTTCCATCCGCGATAGCTTGTTTTGCCATGATATCAGCTAGCTCATTACCTCTAATATCTGAGTGACCCGGTAACCACAAAAATTGTATTTTACATCCTACACCCTCCAATGTTTGTATATGCCTGACTGTATCTGTGACTAATGAATTAGTTAAAAATGGATTTTTAATAGCTCTAAGAGCAGATTCAGAATCTGTGCAAATATAAATTTGCTGTTTATTGCAGCCCAACCATCGTTCTCTTCAACAACCTACATGGTTCAATTCTCCATTCTTCCCATCAACTTTAAGCAGACTATTCTCAAATATCCTTTTCTTCCCCTTAGTTATTAGTAGCATTTGCCAAGATTCAAGAAGATATAGATAGAATCCGTGCCTGGGCAAATGTAAACAGATTAAGACTAAATGCTGCTGAAACTTAGGCTATTGTCATTGGTTCCAAGCCTTTTTTTTTTTTTGGTCCTTCCCTTCCTCGCCGTTAAGGCTATACGGGATTTTCCCGGGCCAGGGAGTGTGGGCGGGGATTTAATAAAAGACTCCCTCGGCACCGGGATGCGAACTCGTGACTATTTTTATGTCTTTAATTCATATGTCAGGTTGCCAGGCAACGGCGGTGCAGTGCACACGCTTTAGCCCATTCGGCTACCCCGCCCACTTCCAAGCCCCTACTTAGATCCCATACTAACTTTCCCATAATATACCTAAATGAACATTCTTTCACTTTCTACACCTCTGTTAACAACGTATGCTTTTCCATTGATCAAACCCTCTCCTGGAATCACTATATTTCTCACATCTCCCGACAGGCAATTTCTATCCTCAAACTATTCCATCGCTTCCACCATTTCCTACATCAACATATGTGTAGACTCCTACTTTTTTCTTTCATCTTTCCCAACTTTGAATAAAGCAGTGTGGTGTATGGGGGCCTCTCAGTGGATCTCAGTGACAGACTCATTAATAGGTTGGTCAGTGGAACCCCAAGACATTTCCGTGTCTCTCTCTACTACAGGTGAGTTAGGGTTAGCTCTTCCCTTCCTTCTGCAGACAATATTTCCTAGGTACATTCCTTTACCAATAATTAACAACCAACGCCCGATCTATGCCTAAAATCTCCTCCAATGCAAGTTCTCTTCACCCTTTCCAAAAAATCTCAATCCTCTGATCTTTATACTCCTTTTCACAGACCCACCTCATTTTAAAATCCTTTGTTGTCCGCTCCATCACATTCTGGAATTCCTTTCCTCTGCCAAACCAAAATGCTTCTTCCTTATCCACATTTAAAACCCTCTTATTGCACTTCATCCTAACAAGACAGCCACGTGGATAACCATGTAATACGCAACATGATGGAGCCCCAGGAGCCAGTGGACAGTCAAAAAAAGTTGTGTCCCTCTGTTGTAAAAGCGCCAAAGAGTATAAACACCAGCCCATGTGCTGGGAAAATGCCCCAACAATTCCCTCCTCATAACATGCCGGCACCATAGAGTCAAATTTGAATTGATGAGGATGCTTTGAGAAAAGGAATTAGCCTGCTTCAACAAGGTCTATTGCATCGAAAGTGAAGGCTCAACCAGGTATGTGGACATTGTACCATTTCCCAGGACAGGAAAGAAAACTCTGATCTTGGATCCAACTGTCCACTTTGAGAGCAATGACCTCGATCAGGCAGGTGAAGTAGAAAAATAAAATAAAACTATATATGATAAATGTATCCCTTTCCTAAAAGAGAAGTTCCGTGAGACCTTTGGAGAGAGAGAGTTCACCATGAGAGGCCTCTGGTTTGGGTCTTGCGTAATGATCCCAGAAAGAACAAGGAGCTTCCTCAAGGAACTAGGTGTTGATGTTGGGGAGCTTGCGATATTGGCCAAGAATTGGATTTTTTTTTTTATTTGGTAGAATTGGTTCTAATCCTTCCTAACCGGTCGCCTCCAGTATATTGTGATCCCTAATAGCCCTCCATCTAAATCTCTACCCTTGTCCTGAGGTGTCCCACAAGGCTCTTCCCTATCTCCCACCCTTCTTTCCATCTATATAAATGACTTCCCATCCTCAATCCTGCTCTGTCAATACCACCTGTATGCTCGAAAAATCGAAAAAAAAAATCTCAATTTTCATCATACTTCATACATCATACTATACATACATACACATCATGTGTGTATGTATGTGTATGTATATATATATATATATATATATATATATATATATATATATATATATATATATATATATATATATATGTCCCTTTAGAACAAATTATAAGTGCTGAATTCATGTGTAAGTGGTCATAAATAGATTAGATAATTACAATATTGGTTATTTAAAAAAGAAAATACAGACGGAAAGAGTGAAAAAGACAGAAGAAGCGTAAATTTACATACATAATAATCATACATAAAGCATACATAATACAAACAGAGAAAACTAAAATAACAGAAATATTTTCTGGGGGTACTTGGATAGCTGTCTAAGGTATATTTCGTGATCAGGTGGATTGAGAAAGGAGTAGGTGTTTAAAAAGGAGGGGTTTGAAAGAGGAAACAACTGATTGTGCATATCAAATATCAGCAGGGATGGAATTCCAGAAGGAGGTGGCTTGAATTGCAAATGATTTGTCAAAGGCAGGAGTTCGTTAAGGAGGAGGATAGAGGTCAGAAGTGTGAGAACTAGTAGGACAGGATTGGATGGAGTATTTAAATTGTAAGCTAAGGAAAATATAGGAGGGTCGATGAGTTCTAATGATCTGGTACAGAAAGGTAGCTAGGAATTACTGACGGCGATAGGATGGATAAAGCCACTTCAACTCGGTGTAATACTGGACAATATGTGTATCTCTTGAGATTCCAAAAACAAAACGTAATGCACAATTCATTAGGCGTTTAAGTTTGGCCTCGAGATCTCCTGAGAGTCCACTGTACATCATGCAGCCGAAGTGGGGGAAAACAAGAGATGAAACTACAAGTTGACGGGACTTATATGGAAGGAGATAACGTAGGCGACTGAACTGTTTTAGGGTGGAAATAGGGTGACGGGAAATTTGGGAGATGTACGGTTTCCAGGAGAGGGTTTCATCAAAAGTAACACCTAAGTTTTTAAGGGGAATAATATAAAACCTATCTGGAATAAGATAGGTGAGTAGTTTAGGAGAAGATTGAGGGATGGCGGGAAGGATTTGAGGAGTGCGGGGGATCCAATCAAGATGGCTTTCGTTTTCTTAGCGTTCAGACTGAGCCTGTTGAGGTTTGCCCATTCACTTATTCTATTAATATCTTCTTGGATTTTTTGAATGGCATCTGAGGAATCGGTCGGATTGAAGGAGAGGTAAATTTGAAAGTCGTCGGCATACAGGTGGTATTGACAGAGCAGGATTGAGGATGGGAAGTCATTTATATAGATGGAAAGAAGGGTGGGAGATAGGGAAGAGCCTTGTGGGACACCTCAGCACAAGGGTAGAGATTCAGATGAAGGGCTATTAGGGATCACAATATACTGGAAGCGACCAGTTAGGAAGGATTAGAATCAATTAAGGGCATTAGAAGAAAAGGTTATATTTTTAAGTTTGGTTAGGAGGATGTTGTTGTCTACTGAATCAAAAACTTTAGAGAAGTCAAGGAGAATAAGGATGGTTAGTTTCTATTTTGATTTTGATTTATTTGATTGGGAAATTTTGATTAGGGTAGACTGAGTAGAGTAGCCAGGCCTGAAGCCGGACTAATAGGGGTTTAGGAGATTATTGTGCTCTAAAAAATGGGATAGGGCTAGTTGTTCTAAAGGTTTGGAGAGGTTTGAAAGAAGAGAAATTGGACGGAAATCATTAAGAGTAGATGGGTTAGAGATCTTCTACAAGGGGCGTACTAGGGCGGTTTTCCAGGATGTAGGGAAGGTGGCATTTTGAAGAGAATAATTATAGATATGATAAAGAATCAGAAGAATGCATGGTAGTGCGGCTTTGATCAGTCTGACTGGAATGTTATCGGGACCATAATCATTAGTATGGGATTTCTGAATGGACTTTAGGAGATCATCAGGGGTAATATGGGAAAAAAAGAAGTGATCAGGATTAAAAGAGGAAAGAGTGGGAGCCGGATCGGAAGCAGGAGTTGTGGTTATGAAAGGGCAGGAGACAAAGTGAGCATCGAGGTTATCGGCAGAAACGGAAATGGACTGGGACTGATGTGTATTACCAATGGTCAATTTTCTGAAAATAGACCACGTGGCCTTGGTATTACGGGATTTAGATAAGGAGTGATAGTAGTAATGGGATTTAGCACAGCATACTGGTGATTGAGTGCTGTTTTGAAGCTGTTTGAAGGAGAGAAAATCTTCATAAGTCGAATTCGCTTAAACCGTCATCTTGCAGTATCTCTTTCGCTCATACACTCTCTTAAAGCAGGAGTAAGCCAAGGAGTGGGAGGATGTCGGATGGTTTTTGTGATAAGAGGAGCATGTTGGTCGAGGATAAAGTGAAGATAAGAGATAAGGGTTTCTAACATGGTGTCGATGGATTTTGAGACGTAAATGGGATCCCATTGGATATTGTCAAGATCTTTTGACAGTGTTTCGTGAGTGAGGAAATTTAGGTTTCGGAAGGATATAGTTCGAAGAGAAAAGGATGGGACAGGGATAATATAAGAGATCTGGATAAGGTCGTGGGAAGATAGAAACGGGACCGGGTGCTGAGATGCGGCAAGGAGTTTGTCTGTGGAATCTAGAATAAATAGATCGAGGCAGGACTCTGAGAACTGAGTATGGTGGGTAGGGTTGTAGAGTACTACGTATAGGCTGAAAGAATGTAGGAGGTTTGTTAGGTAGGAATAATCGGAGTATGGCATTAGTAAATTGGTATTAAAGTCTCCGGAGAGGATGACATTTGAGTAGGAAGGGATTAAATTGTACAGAGAAGTCTCAAATAGTTCATCAAAAGGAATTCTAGGAGGGCGAATATGACAGCAAACAGAATGGACTATGAAGTTGTGAGGATTTCGGCAAAGAGGTATTCAATGTGCGGTGAATCGGTTAAGGAAGAGCAATGAAGGATTTTGGATTTAAGGCTGTCATGGACAAAGAGGCCTACTCCACCACTAGTATGGTGTATTCTGTCACGAAGGAGAGTGTAGTTTGGTAGAAGGATCTGGGAAGACGGGATTGTGGGTTTCAATCAGGTTTTGGATACGGCAATTAAATGGTAAAAGTTATAGAGGAAAAAGACATAAAATTCATCAAAATGGGCTAAGAGTGACTGAGTGTTGACATGGCAGATTAAAAGGATATTACTCATGGATGAAGGAGAGGTGGCTTGGTAAACGGATAGGAGGAACAAGGATAGGAATATTTATACAATAGCCAGAGCTAATGTAAGCCCAGAGTCCATAATTAATGATAATATCTCTATTGAGAAGAACAATAAATTTATAACATTTTCCAGATATTAATAATGAGAGAAAACAGAAAATATAAAATTTAGTTAACGAAAGGTATGTTCCTACTGTGAGAAAGAATAAAAGTACATAAATTAAAGTTTCTAAGCAGTAAAATCTACAATGTTCTCATAAGCAAAAATAAAATTGTTACCTAGGTAAAAAAATAAAATAAAAGCAACAAAAACATAAACCTGTAAATAAGAAAAATCAAAGACAAAATTGTACAAAATAATGAAACATGTGTGTACATGTCAAGCAAATATGTCCAAATCTGATGGTGAATTAATGACGACGACCTGCTGGCCATCATCCTTTCGACACTTCGCCTTACCTGCGCTAAACCACACATATCTGATTTTCCCGGTGGACGATTATGAATGGACAGGGTTCTTTATCACTTTCTACAAAACTTCCATAATGGTTTGGAAATGGATATCAAGAAATTTAAAAAAAAAGAATACAAATGAAAAGAAATATAACTGAATAAGAAAATGGACAACAGCTAAAATAAAGTGAAAATATTATTAAGAAATAAACAAGAGGAAACTCACAATATTACGAAAAACCATTAGGAATCACCAGATCCAATTCCCTTAAATATATAGGAAAAAAGGAGATTTCTTAAATATACAGGAATTAGAATTAGACTGATGCTAATTTTTTTACTTAGATTGTATTTTTCAAATGCTATTTATTATAACTTAACTTTATAGTATTAATATGTTTAATAAATACTTTTGTAATAAGGCCAGCAGCTATTGTAACACCGCCTACTCTTAGCATAAATCTTCCTAATTCTTTCATCTCCCGGTAAAGTTCAATACAAATAGGCTTGGAGGTTTCAATGACAACTACTGCACTATTGTTTTTTAGTAGACACCTAGGTTTTTTCTTTATTACTTCTCCAGTATTTTTATTAACTTGCGAGATCAACTTGGTAATAATAGCCTGCTCAGTGATGCAGTGTAAGTGAAGAACAACCTGAAAAAGGAGGTATATTCTGAATAATAAAAATGTCGTTAGTATAAGAAAAAATTATTTCATGATGTTTAAAAACTGAAATATTCCCACTAACTAGAGCACATGTTTTATTTTCCTTGTCATATAGACGGCTAATTTTTACTTTAAATAAAAAAAAATAAATAAAAAAAAATAAATTAAACAGAAAACAAAAAATATAATTCTAAAGAAGGAAAATAAAAACTGTGATTATTCTAAGACTGTTGTATTTGAAAAATACCTAGTATTATAGAAAACATAGCACAACATATTTATTGCAGTAAATGAATGAACATATTTTCAATGGAGTTAAAAAATAGATAGGATTTTGGGGAGGAAGTGAATTTTACTGACAAAATTTTAGAAGTAAGTCATTCGTTATTCAGTAAGATCTCTAAGTTTCCCTATGAAAGTTAGTATTTGACTTTTTTTATTATTATTTCCTCTCCCTTCCTTGTCTTTTCGACAATATGGGATTCCATTTTTTATGCAACAAGTTTCTTGTCTGATTATCTTGGAGTCACTCCAGGTTGAGACTGTGGAAGTCTTCGCCTTACTCCAATATTGAAATAAGCTGCGCCTATTTTTTGCTTCCACCCATACACGAATGCCTCGTAGTATGGGTAGTTATCTGCAGCGACGAGAGGAGGCAAATCTCCTTCGTTGATATTGTAGATATTTGTGCTTCTCATTCTCCTATTCACACACCATGAACCTATCAAGTTAGCGCATCTTTCTGCCTCCAGTATGATCCCTGCTCTGCTATCGGATGCCACCACAGTGGCCAAGTCATCAACATACACCGTTACTGGGAACCGCTGTTCTTCTAATACCCCCAAAAGCTCACCAAAAACTAAGTTCCACAGAGCAGGACCAAGAACAGACTCCTGTGGGCATCCTCTCTGGACAGTTCTATCAATCGTGTAGAAACTACCTCCAATCCTCACATATCTGTCCTGTAGGTAGCTTTTCAGAAGAGCATATAGGTTGCTGGGGGTATCATATCTCTTTAACTGCTGTAGAACGCGGGAGTGGGGTGATAAAGAAAACTGAATAGCTGTCATCGCCTAACACAAAGTTGGAAAATGTAGGTCAGAGATCAACACCTTGAAATCTTTGGGTATCAGCCGTATGTTCGAGTACCGCACTATAAATAGATATAATGAGACCCTATCTGTATTTGACAGACCTCGATCAGGCCATCCCAGCACTGTAAGAATGGCAAATAAAGTGAGAGCAGTGGCTGCTTGAATCAGAAGAAATCACATTCGAAAACAAAAAATCATGTCTCGGGAAATGGGAATCTCTGTCAGATCAATGTCTCGCATAGTAAAAAGTGACCATAGGATGGGTGCATTTCGAAGAATGACAGGACAAAGGCTAACCACTTCCCTAAAAAAAATTAGAGTCGATAGATGCAAAGTGCTCCTTGGCCATTACACAAATGGTCTTCATTGAAAGATTTTGTTATGCGACGAGAAAATTTTTACAATTGAAGAAAAATTTAATCACAAAAATGATCGTGTGTTTATGCACACAGCTCTAAGAAGCCCACGAAGTCATTGGAAGCATGGAAAGAGGTCATCACCCTTCCTCAGTGATGGTTTGGTGGGGATTTTTCTTTGATGGCACCACTAAGCTCCATTTTTGCGAAAAAGGAGTTAAAACAGCTGCTAAAAACTATAAGGACAATATTTTTTAACCTGTTGTCAAGCCTCTAAATGATACTCTGTTTGGTGGCAGTCATTGGGTTTTCCAGCAGGATCCCGCTTCAGCTCACAAGGCCAGGTCAACTCAGCAGCAGTGTTGGGCAAAAATTATCTATAGCTAACAGATAACAGATAACAGCTAAATTAGCTATTAGCGGGCAGATAATTCTGCAACTAAATTAGCTATTAGCGGGACCAAGCCGCTAACTTTTAGCGCAAGTTAACTTTTAGCTGTTCTTACCGCTAACCGCTAATTATCTTTATCTGTATCTTCAACTAAAAGCTAATAGCTAATTCTTCGGATTTCATTGGTCTGAGAGTCGACTATTAGGTTTTGGGGGGCGTTTTTTATAAAAATAATGTCGGATTTTAGTGACCCCCCTTGTGTGACCCCCTCCTCGCCCCCCCCCCTCGGGCACCGACTTATCGTAACTTTTCTGATTTTATCGATATATGGGTCGACTATTAGGTTTTGGGGGGCGTTTTTTATGAAAATAATGTCGGATTTTAGGTGTGACCTCCCCCCCCCCCCCCGGGGCACCGACTTATCGTAACTTTTCTGATTTTATCGATATATGGGTCGACTATTAGGTTTTGGGGGGCGTTTTTTATGAAAATAATGTCGGATTTTAGGTGTGACCTCCCCCCCCCCCTCGGGGCACCGACTTATCGTAACTTTTCTGATTTTATCGATATATGGGTCGACTATTAGGTTTTGGGGGGCGCTTTTTATGAAAACAATGTCGGATTTTAGGTGTGACCTCTCCTCCCCCCCACGGGCACCGACTTATCGTAACTTCTCTGATTTTATCGATATATGGGTCGACTATTAGGTTTTGGGGGGCGTTTTTTATGAAAATAATGTCGGATTTTAGGTGTGACCTCCCCCCCCCTCCCCCCGGGCACCGACTTTTTGTAACTTTTCTGATTTAATCGATATCAGGGGCGACTGTTAGGTTTTGGGGGGCGCTTTTTATGAAAATAATGTCGGATTTTAGGTGTGACCCCTCCCCCCTCCTCCCCCTCGGGCACCGACTTATCGTAACTTTTCTGATTTTATCGATATCAGGTCCGACTATTAGGTTTTGGGGGTCGCTTTTTATGAAAATAATGTCGGATTTTAGTTGTGACCCCTCCTCCCCCCCTCGGGCACCGACTTATCGTAACTTTTCTGATTTTATCGATATATGGATCGACTATTAGGTTTTGGGGGGCGCTTTTTATGATAATAATGATAATAACACACCTAAAATCCGACATTATTTTCATAAAAACTGCCCCCCAAAACCTAATAGTCGACCCATATATCGATTAAGTCAGAAAAGTTACAAAAAGTCTGTGCCCGGGGCAATTTTCATAAAAAGCGCCCCTGATTATATAACAGTCGATCCTAATATCAATTAATAAAATGAAATAAATAATATTTCTTCTAGTGTTAGCGTTAAGTTAGCTTTTAGTTAAGTTAATAGATAATTTAGCTTAAGCTAAAAGTTAGCGGTTCGTTTCCGCTAATAGCTAATTAGCGCTAAAGTTATCTGCGCCAAAACAGTTAGAAGCTAAATTAGCGTAATATTTAGCGCCGCTAATTTTAGCTTTTTAGCGCTACGTTAGCTAGTTAAAAATTAGCGCGCTAACGCCCAACTCTGCTCAGCAGTAACATCTCAAGCAGAGAGATGAGATAATGGAAAGGTGGAGGGAATTCTTCCAAGATCTGTTCAATGAAGGTGGACAGACACTCTGTGTAGATGAAGAGACAAGAGAGGTAGATCCTTGGGAAGATGACTTTATTGGCAATGACAAACTGGAAGAAGCAATCTGGAGTATAAGGCTAGAGAAATCCGCAGGTAGTGGTGGTATAACTCCAGAAATGCTGAAATACTTGGGGCTGAAAGGAAAAGAAATCCTGCAGCATCTGCTGAACTTAGTGTGGAAGCAAAAGAAAATACTGAAAGATTGGGAAATAGCCATCATTGTTCCTATCTTTATGAAAGGAGATAACAGAGATTGTAACAACCAACGAGGCATATCTCTATTAAGCGCACCAAGTAAGATTTACTCTAAGATCTTAGAAAAGAGAACAAGAAGAAAAATCGAAGGATTACTTGAAGAAGAACTATACGGCTTCCGGGGAAATCGTAACACCCACGACCTTATCTTTAGCATAAGACAAGTTTTTGAAGAAATATTGGAAAAATAAAAGGAAATGTCGGTGTGCTTTGTTGAACTTACAAAAGCCTTCAATCGGGTGAGAAAGTCTGATATCTTGGAGGCCTTGAGAGAAAAAGGGATTGATCAAAGTCATGTCCTGGGGGTTGAGAATCTCTACAAGAAAACAAGAAACATAGTAAGATTTGTCAACTGCACTTTACAGGAAATCAAAACAACAATTGGAATCCGGCAAGGTTGTAGTCTTAGTCTACTTTTGTTTATGCTAGTGATGGAGTTAGCAATACGAAGGGCTAAAGGAAAAATGCAGAAATTTCACCTACGATATGCCAACCTGAGATCAGTAAGCCTCTCAATACTTGCATTCGCTGATGAAGTTATTTTTTCGGACAATGACAGGAATCTTCAGTACAATATTAATAAATTAAAAGAAGAATTGTGGAAGATTAAAATGGGATTAATATTAGCCGGATGTTTAATTTACTATGCCAATCCCTTCCAAGGCTGTCAGGGATATTGTCATAATAATTCTGCTTTAAGAGCTGGTGATAATTTATTGCTGTGGACTGTAAAATTAGAGGAGTTAATGGATTAAAGAAGTGAATATTTAAAATTGATTGCTATATTTTATTACATGTAATTTTATACAGAGGTTAAATATAGGTGGGTTGCGATACTTGCATTTTCTCTTTTCTTCTAGTTGCCAGTCTTCTTGTTCATCTTCTCTCTCTTCCTTTCTTGGCCCCTTGCCGGCCGCTGTAGTTTTTTACTCCATGTTTAGTAAACCAGTGGAATCACAAAATTTTCAACTGGCCAGTCTAGTCAATCTCTCACGGTACGTGAGCGCCTACGCTTGAGTAATGGCTGCGTCGCAATAACAACTGAGGTATATATGCAGTATAACAGCTGTGTTGTGCTTACTTGATTTAATTCAAATATGAAGTTTGATGTGTTCCCTAAACAAGCCGCCCTTAAATTAAGCTACACTAATTTACAATAAAAACAAAAAGCGTAGCATAGTGCTGTGATGTACTAATACAAATGTGGTAACAAAAAAAAAGTCATCTCTTTTGATGAAATTAAAATAAGCAATCAAGATTAACTAGCTTGTTTAGGGAACACATCAAACTTCATATTTGAATTAAATCAAGTAAGCACAACACAGCTGTTATACTGCATATATACCTCAGTTTTATTGTGACGCCGCCATTACTCAAGCGTAGACGCTCACGTACCGTGAGAGATTGACTAGACTGGCCAGTTGAAAATGTTGAAAATGTCCACTGGTTTACTAAACATGGAGTAAAAAACTACTGCGGCCGGCAAGAAGCCAAGAAAGGAAGAGAGAGAAGATGAACAAGAAGACTGGCAACTAGAAGAAAAGAGAAAATGCAAGTATCCCAACCCACCTATATTTAACCTCCGTATAAAATTACATGTAATAAAATATAGCAATCAATTTTAAATATTCACTTCTTTAATCCATTAACTCCTCTAATTTTACAGTCCACAGCAATAAATTATCACCAGCTCTTAAAGCAGAATTATTATGACAATATCCCTGACAGCCTTGGAAGAGATTGGCATAGTAAATTAAACAACCGTCTAAAAACAAAAGTAATGATGGTTGGACAGAAAAGTCCTCCGTACGATAACAGGACCTATCAGGGATCAGAACTTTAACACATGGAGGAGAAGAAACAATAGAGAACTACTAAAAGAAATTGGTCAGCCAATATTTCATGATATGAAGGCTAGGAGGTTAAGATAAGTGGGGCATGTAGGTTGAAGCAATGTATCAGGACACCTTTACACAATGAATGCCAGAGTAGTAGGCAAGAGACCACGTGGGAGGCCAAAAACCAGATGGATAGATAGGATAAACAAAGATAATGCTGAGCTTCATGCCACAAACTGGAAAGCAGTAGCCCAAGACAGGCAGATATGGAGAAGGCTGGTTCAGGCGGCCGTTGATTTATAAGGTCTGTAGATCTAAACGAAAAATAAATAAAAAAGAAAAGAAAAGAAAAAAATATATATTTAGGAACATCTTTGCTTAAAATCTTATATATTCAGAGATGTTTGGGATAAAAGTGCCATTTTATAACACTTTTCACACCATAACCCACAAAACCAAAAAATTGAATCCTTTGACTCCACTCTCCCTTCATTTAAAATAACCAGATAAAATGTTTAATGAAATAAAAAGAATTCTAAAATTCTTTTAGATAATTTAGGTATGAATAACAAATAAGACAATCTTAGTTAAAAAAGATAAAATCTTACCGAGTATCCTTTAGTTATTGGAATGATTGTGTTAAATATAACAACTCTTGCTTCGAATTTGGAAGATGAAGGTACAGGAGAAGTAGTATCACATAATACAGAACCTATCGAAATGTTATCTTGATCATAATTTGATAATGTAGCACTGACAAAGTCTCCTGCATATGCTGTTTGGGTAGATAGATCATCAATGGTTATAGCTGAAAACAAAAATTAAATGAACAAAAATTATTGAAATTTTAATTAAAAAATATTCATATATAACAAAAATTATTTTCAGGTTAAAATACATATTATCAGGGGCACTGTATGTCAAAAATCTATAGAGTATAACTAAGTATATTTATTATACATGATTGAAAATTGAAAGATTAGAGTAAAAAAAAGTGTTTTAAATAAAAAATATAATGTTCTGGATAGAGGAAGTATTTTTAAAACTTGATTAGGATTTTTTATTTATTTTTAATTTTAGAGAGCTAAACTTTAAATAATTTATTTTTATCCCCTTTATTTTATTTTCATAAACTGAGGGGAGGAAAAAGTTGATACTTGACAATGTTTTCTATTACAAAATAAAGTGAGTAACACTTTTAATATAGTTTTAGATCTTGTTTTAATATAGTTCCACTTTAGTAATTTAGTTTCTTTATTGCCACATACAGCGTAATAATTATCCATACGATATCAACTGTGAGACGGGGTTGCCGAAGGGGCTAACTATCGGCTAATATGGCCATAAACGCTATAAAATAAGTCACCTTGTCTCGTTCCACTATAGTCTATAGATTAAAGATACACACCCAGCGACTTTTTCAGTGAAAGTAGAACAGTTCACTGATGAAAACTTTGGAATATAGTCCCAATATAAGCTCCAAGTTACTACTACAACTACTTAATGTGAGATTAAAATGTCTGATGATGATGACACAGGAGCACTGGACACATTGATACCGTTATTATCTACCATCGTAAAGGTACAACTCGCTAAGAAAAACAGAAAAAGAGGTCTACCTAAAGAACGTTCTTTCCTTGAATGTGCACAAGAGATGGTGGATTTCAGCACGAGAGAAGAGGAAACATGGATGGAAGTGCAGAAAACTGGGTGGAGTAGGGTAATGGCTCTCATAAAGGCCCTAGAAACATGACACAAACAACTTGGAAGAAGAAAGAGACAGTGTTCAGTGGTAGAGAAACACACACTGGTGTCAAACCGATGACCAGTATGAGGAGAAAATGTCACGGATGCGGGAGGGAGGGCCACATTGCAGAGTATAGTCCCTACATGTACTCAAGAAGAAAAGCAGTCTGGGCGGAACCAATGCATATAAATGCCCAGAAGGTTCGAAGGAGGAACATTTAGCCAAAGGAGAAGCAGATAGTCAAGGGAATCTGTAACCTCAGAGAGAGAGAGAGGAGTTGGTCCAACCAAAAGGCTAAGAAGGCGAGGGCAACAGAGGTGGAAGGAGTAGCAGAAGAAGCAGACGGTGGCGATCAGAACACAGAATTTGAGGAGAGTGTCGACAGATCGCACAATAGTGAGTAATAGCATAAAGCAGGGATTTCCAACCTAGAGCTCGTGGGCACCTGTGATGTCACTCATGTGTATGCCTGCCTATCTCTAACTTTTATCAGCTATCACCTTGGCAACAGTTTTACTGTTGTCTGCAGCAGATCGACAAGTTTTCAATAAAATATTGAATATTTATTTAAATAAATAATTGAACATAAATATGATCAATTACTTTGAAAATTGTTTTTTTTTTCATTTGTCATTATTGTTTTATGTGGCATGCTGCAGATCCACAAATTTTCAATTCAAATATTTTACAATTTTTTCTTAAATATAATTTAAAAATTAACAAGATTTTATAGATAAAAAATTCATATATCATCATTATTGTTTTGTTTAATTTCTTTCTTTGGTAGTAAAAAAAAAAAAAGAATGGTACTGCTGGTATAACTTATTTTATATATAGTTATAACCCATACTACTTCTAATTAATTTTTAATGCTAATTTTAAAATGTGTTAGTCTATTATAAAAAATAAATAAAAAACCTGTAGCACTACAACCCATGTAGGGTCTTGGGTTCAGTTCTATTTAGGGAAAGCACCGTTTCTTGGTCTACGGTTGAAAGGTTATTTGAACAAGATCGTGCTCAACCACCAGGTTCTCCTCCATAATTAATTATTTTAATGAAGGGTACTCACTTTATAGAGGCTGGGTATGCCCCAGGAGGGTCTACCTACCCAAGGTTGCCCCACAGCCAATGAAACAGAATAAATAATTTTTCTGCCATATTCTGAACCTTTAGCATTGGAAGCTCAGTACCCTAGCACCGAGCTATCCCACTTCCCTAGTCTATTATAAAAATCTTTTATAAACTTAATAACATTCACTAAACTTGGGTGTTTTTCACCTTTTGTGTAGAAATATGTTTCATTAGTTTTGGAATTAATAAAGATGTTTGTTACCGTATGCATATATTTATTTTTATTAATAAACTTCACATTATTTTTTAAATACTGTAAACAGCAACCTATCTGCAATTCATATTGAATAAAACCATGGGAACATAATATAATAATATAATAGGAAACATAATATTGTAACCATTGAGAGTGTCAAAGAAACGAGGAAAAGGACAGTTCACATTGAAAAGCTAAAGCTTCCAATCGTAATGTCAGAGTTACTGCAGAAAGCTAGACTATCCTCTATTTAACCTATTATTGACAATACAAACTTTATGAAAATGTTTGTAAACGGGACGGGAGGAGGGGGAGGGGAGAGGAGGGAGTTTAGATGCAAAGTGCAACGGTATTGGCCATAATACGATTTCATAGTTGAAACTACTAGACTTCAATAATGGCAACACATGTTTAATTAATTTTACTTTACATTATTATTTTTTTCTTGCTTAAATAAAGTTGATTTGTTTCTTTAATTTATTGATTACTTATTGCAAGTTTTCACGTGAATAAGTAGTCAATATATAATTATACATATTTAATCAAGATAAGATTACCACGGTAGAATATGTACAGATTAGAGTTGTTCCTTTTTTTTGCATGGAATATGTTTTAGTTTATTTAAATTTTTAATTCTGCTTTTCCTGTGTTTTGGCTTTGATAAGTAGTTAATTAATTTTATATTTGTTTTTATTCAAAGCAAAATCCAATAAAAATATTTGTATATTTTATGAATATTTAAGTTAATTAATTATATGTACAATTCTATTGTATTTTTTCCTAGAATAAAGGATATGTAAATATCGATAATGTATTACATAAGAAGGAAATTTAGTGCTGAATCGAATGAATACAACCATGGTTTTGTGGCTTTCATATTAATCTTGAACAGATAAAAAAGTGCTATGGCTGTTGATTTTATGGATACATGTACTTGAGGTTGAATTATATTTTAAAATATAAATATTCCAATAAAAACAACAGTCAGGGAGATGAATCCCATTATCAATATTTTAACCATCAAGAGAATTACTATTTTATTAACATAAAAACAATTAATATATGATAATAATAATTGTGGGTACTGTCCTGAATAATGAAGAGAAGAATAGTTGGGGTGATCAGTCAAATAAAAAGACAAAAATAAACGATATTTATTTTGACATTTGCCGACGTTTCGACCTGAAGTTCAGGCCTTCATTAGGGCTGAGAAAAGAACCAGATAACAAGGTATAGGAAACAAGTAGTTTAGGTAAAAAAAAAAAAAAAAATCAAAGTAAAATGCAGTTGTTAGAATAATGACAATAGGAAGAACTTTTTTTAGCCCTGATGAAGGCCTGACCTTCAGGTCGAAACGTCGGCAAATGTCAAAATAAATATTATCATTTATTTTTGCCTTTTTATTTGACTTTTATCACCCCAACTATTCCTCTCTTCATTATGATAATAATAATTTTCATAAGAATTAATCTCAGCTATTTTTTTTTTTTTTTTCATTTACTCCCCACTTGCCCTTTCTGGTATACGGGGTGTTGTTCTGTAGGTAAAACCAAACCAATTCTAACCAGAGTGAGAAGGCTAAGATTCATTTTATGGGTCTGCCACAAAATAAACTTTAACCCGTACAGGCCTGATTGAAGCTGGCATTACTAGGCTCAAAAATTTTAAAGTGGGTAACGCCTCTACATACTCAGCTTTTATATAATAAATAACATTAAATAATAAAGAAATAACCTCCCTCTTCTCTCCCTCATGGTGTAAACATAGCAGTGTGTGTTTATATTTTTGATGATCGGTGTTCAATATAAACTTCTACCTTTGATAAGAGCAGATTCATTCTGAGGCTGTACAAGTACTTTGTCACCAATTTGCAGCAATCCTGTTTCAATACGTCCACTAACACAAAATCCAGATCCAGTACCTTTATAAATGTCGTTCACTAATAGTCTCAAAGGTTTACTAACAGGACGTTCGGGGCAATTAAATTTGTCTACAAATTAAAATAAGATGTTAAGTATTTTACAAATATAATAAAACAAAAAATTGATATGATAAAAAATAAAAATAAAAATATTTTGTACCTATTACTTCCAATAATGATGGACCATTATACCATTTGTTAAGTTCTGGTAGTTTGCTTTTTTGGGTCAAATTTTCACCACTCAAACCACTGCATGGAACAAAACTAATATCACGCTCTTTGAATCCTGCTTGTTTCAAAAAAGAACCTAATTTATTTTGGATTTCTAAAAATCTTTCTTCACTCCATGAAACTGTATCCAGTTTGTTAACAACGACACAGATCTGATTAACTCCTTCAACAAAAGCAACAATATCATGGTTTAATTTATTGAAATAAACAATATAACAGGCTTCATCTAATTATTTTTTAAAAAATTATAAACTAATTAAACCTAATTATACCTTATCATTTTAAAAAATATATATAATGCCGTATATTGAACCTATTATTTATTATTTTATTTTCAACCCTCCTGTTCCTGATAGGCAATAAGGGTATTAACAACAGTGGACAGAACAAAACAAACCTACAAAACAACTCAATATTGCTAGTAAACAATTAATAACTTTTCTTGAGATCTGCATAGTTTGATCTTCTTTCCTTATTCAGGTTTGTTCACTATTTTCTGCGTTCCTGTTGCAACACGTCTTCTTTCCAAGAAGAAGTGGATTGGAGATACGATTATCTTACATCAGCACAAACAGTCCTTGAAATGCACATAGTTTTCCTCACTCATTAATTGAGTGCTCGGTAGTAGTCTCTGGTACTATTTGACTGGATCCCATGCTTCTCATGCTTAAGGAGATTTACTCCGAAACCATACCCATTAAGAAGTTGGGTGACCCATTAATCATGTTCAATCCAGTACTCCTTAAATAGCCAGTCGGTAAGAAACCTCTCTTGTTATATAATGTTACATCACATAACTTTCCTTCTTATCTCCAGTTATTCCATTGTTTATTAGTGTGATTTTCATCAAATTATGTATTTGTCAAATTATATTACATTGTGGGAATTGCTGTCTTCACAAATATGAATACGAAGATAGAAATTATTAGTATCTTATGAGAATTATCAATGTTAAGGTTATAAACATTGGCAGATAGCAGTCGGACCCGACCGGCTATTTAAGGAGTACCAAATTTTAAAATAATATGTGTCAAGGGGAGGATACGAAGTATTGATGGTCATTAGGAATATCGATAGTTTTAAACTATCAACATATAGATAGCACTATGGACTATCACCCATCTCTAGGTTATATTAATACCAAGGCCTATAAAACTACCAGGTTCCCTCACTCAGAAATACCTGGTGGGGGAACTTGAAATGTGACACAAGGACTAGACCGCCAGACCTACCTACTACTCTTTCAAACCTATCAATGAAGGTTTATTTCAACATTATTGTGCTTTTTTTTTTCTTGTTTAATTTATTGAAAAGAATACTTTTCAGAGTTTTTGACGTTTGATTGAAGATAATTTCAAGTAGATAAATAAATAAATAAATACGACTAGCAATCTATACTTATTTAGAGAAACAAAACAGCATTGTATCACAATTTTTGTTTGTAGAAATCATGATTATTTTTTTTTAATGATATAACGATATTATAATAATATCATAAGGATGAAAATAATTGTCAGAATTTGCAGTCAAAATTTCTTTAAATAAAAAAGTTAAGTAATTTAAAAAATAAACAATTTAAAGTAATCTACAAATCCATTCAAAGCAAGAAGAGATACTAAAGGGTTGAACGGTGAGTGAGGATTCAAGCCAAAACAATAACTATAAATGCCTTACTAACAAAGCTGCTTTTTATCATCCAATACTTTAGCCAAGTTCTATGCCAAGAATAGATCTCACTTGTGTTTATTTCTTCCTTTGTTAACGAATACAATTTTTGCTTCACACAGAATTATTTGCCTTCCTTATGTTTTTCTATTTTGAATAATGAATTTAATTAGAACAATAAGGTAAAATAAATATTAACACACTCGCTTATTCATTTGTGTTTATAAATCGTCAAATTTAGCGCAAAAATGTGCTATTTAATGCAAAGAAAATCAAAATCGTGCAATTTAAGCCAAAAACGGCAAAACATGCTATTTCGTGCAATATAGCAATATAGTTGATGCCGATGTAGTCCTTATATGGTCAATATATTGACGAAACTCAATATTGACTATGTAAGGTGCCCTTTAAGTTTTCTTAATTGATGTAATATAAAATATCTGTAACATAAAATTAAAGGGATGAAAAAAGTTGTCAGAATTTGCAGTAAAAATTTGTTTATTTTTTAAATTACTTAACTTTTTTATTTAAACAAATTTTTACTGCAATATTACATCAATTAAGAAAACTTAAAGGGCACCTTATACAGTCAATATTGAGTTTTGTCAATATATTTACCGTATAAGGACTACATCGGCATCAACTATATTGACATCAATCAAACTGGTTGATATCAAATTTTTTTTACTTTATTGAAGCTCCTTCAATATTATTGGAACAATATCAATATAATTGCATGTGTAAGGGCTATATTGAGCAATATTAAACCATTATCACTGGGCGATACCAAATTTCTGGTGTCCATCTTGGTAATATGTTTGAGTAGGGATGTGATACTTTGTTTGTATATATTTTTTTGAAGGGGGGATGATAAAATAGCAATATGTTTGGGTCAATAGGTGATACTTTAATTTTTGGGGGGAAAGGATTAATCCCCCCTCCGAATTTTATTTTAAAGATAAAATGACAATATGTTTGGGTAAATGGGTGATACTTTTTTTAATTCAATTTTTTTTGGGGGGTGAGAGCCCCCCAAATTTTTTTTTAAAAAGACAATGGTAGTATGTTTTAAAAATTAAATAATTAGGAAACAAGAACATAACTAATTTTAATGTCTAGGAACAAAATAAACATTACAAAGAACACATACATAATGTATGTATAGATAATATATATAATGCTAAAACCAGGGCAATTAAAGTAATAGGAAATTCATTTTCAGGAAAAAGAAAGATTACCTCTTTGGAGACCTTTTTTAATGGAAGCAAGAACTTAACTGGTATATTGATTCAATATAATTGATCCATGTGAGTACCTCTTCAATATATTGCCTTCAATTATATTTCTTCAATAATATTGACTGTGTAAGGGACCCTTTAGAGCAAAGACAAAAAACTTGAAAAAAAAAAAAATTACTACGTAGGATTACTTATGACTAGAGACCAGATTTCCATGTGATTGAATTTTTTATTCGCTTGTGTGTAAAAACTTTGGACTCGAACATCTGTTTCAGAACTTGTAGAATGACATATTTAAATATTATATTGCACGAAATAGCATGTTTTGCCGTTTTTGGCTTAAATTGCACGATTTTGATTTTCTTTGCATTAAATAGCACATTTTTGCGCTAAATTTGACGATTTATAAACACAAATGTATAAGTGAGTGTGTAAATATTTTTTTTACCTTGTTGTTCAAATTAAATTCATTATTCCAAATAGAAAAATATAAGGAAGGCAAATAATTCTGTGTGAAGCAAAAATTGTATTCATTACCAAAGGAAGAAGTAAACACAAGTGAGATCTATTCTTGGGATAGAACTTGGCTAAAGTATTGGATAATAAAAAGCTGCTTTGTTAGTAAAGCATTTATTATCCTTGGCTTGAATCCTCACTCACCTTTCAACCCTTTAGTATCTCTTTTTGCTTTGAATTGATTTGTAGAAATTTCATTTTTATAAAAAAAAAAAAAAGGTATATTGCTGAAAGTAAAATCTAGTCTCCTGTCGAAAATTAAAATCTGGATATAAAAATATCCCGATTTGAAATGTGAGGACAAAGAATTTGATGAGAAAGTTCTATACACCGTATGAATCAATCAGGTGATAGGAAATCACTGATAGACGTTCATTGGGGAACAAGTAAGAAAAAAATATTCTTATCAAAGAATTGAATGGTTTTTTGTTTTTTAGAAAGAACAAAATACCCCAAAATATTTTTTTAGTGGTACAGAAAAACAGCTTCAACACTAATTTCTGAACACTTGAAAATCTCAAACATTACATTCTATTTCAAATTTTTTCAAAATTCATTAAATTTTAACAAAAACATTTGGGAATGTATAATATTGGAAACTTCAGCTCTACTAAAAAATAAAGTTTTCATTGTTATTTTTAATAAAAGTTATATATCTAAAATTGGTCTAATCTATGTAATATATAGAATAGAAAAAATAGAAAAATCATTTTTATTCTGGGACTAGGTCCCTTTAGAATAACAGTATTGTTCATATATATTAACCATAAATCTGGCCAAAAGACTTATTACAATATATACATAGGTACTTATAATTCCTGCCTTAATTTATTCTTTAAAACCTTCAATACTCTGCATTATTTCATAATAATCGTTATTATAATAGTTTATTGTAATCTGGAATTTCATTTTCAATGTTACATTTCAATTTTTTTTTTTTTTTTCATGCGCTTAACTCAAGATCTGATAAGATTTTGATGTATTAATGTTATATATTAAACAATATTGATGGTTTTACACGTTTTTAGGTGTTAATTACACAATTTTACATATTTTGGATTTATACTGCATGATTTTGCACATTTTGAGTTTTTTACTGCACGAAAATCTGGTTTCTACTTATGACAAAAAAATCTGGTGTGCGCAACATACAACTTTCACTTACCGCTCAACTTTGAATAGAAATTATTTTCTGACCATGTTGGACTATTATAAAATTTTCGAATTGCGTTTTTAACAGAGCTAAACCTAAAAAATTACAGCTAACAAATCATAAATACCATTAAAATAACAAAAGTCCTATTTATTATATCACAAGTTGATTATGGATTGTACGTTCCATTGATTAAGGATTGCACGATCCATTGGTAATGGATTGTACGACTATTAGTTATCAAACTGTTATTTTCCATTGCAAAGTCTATTAAAACGGAATTAAGAGATTTGCATTGTCTGTCATAGACAGGTCAAAAGTTGTCACTTCTTTGTCTTCCTCTTATGCCATTTGTTAGCGTTGAGAAGCTTCAATCCAGCGTAACCACTCTTCCTGGTCCCTGCTTAGCTGCTTCATCTCATTGAGGGTTTTGCCTCTTTTACATCCAATTCTTTGAATATACTCTTGGTATGTGATTCTGGGGCGTCCGCGTGGTCTCCTTCCTGTGGGTTGAGCCTCTAATATTCTTATAGGATTCAAATTCTCGTTCATGCGGCAGACATGTCCAAACCATTGGAGTTGCCGTCTTTCTAGAGTGGTTTTAAGTTCAGTAACTCCTAGTTGCTCTCTAATGTTTTCGTTCCTAATGTGATCCTTTCTAGTTTTCCCAACAGATCTGCGAAGGGACCTCATTTCTGCCTCCATTATGCGACTACAGTGCCTGTCTAGTATTGTCCAGCTTTATCCAACGTAGGTGAGTGTAGGTAGATAAACAGACTTATACACATGCATTTTGGTATTTTTGTCTACTTCGCGGTGGCCAATAATGCTATCAGTAGTCTGGTAATACATCTGATTCGCCTTACATATTCTGTTTGATATTTCGGCGTCTATCTTACCCGAGTTACCAATTACGGTCCCAAAGTAGGTAGGTATATTCACTCACTACCTCGTGTCTCACCATTGGAGAGCAGTTGTACATCTTCCCGTTCTTCCCTCGTCATAACCAGCACTATACTCCTGGAGGTCAATTTGCATCTCTTTCCTGAGCAACTCTTCTTCCCATTTTACCAGAGCTTTTTGTAGTTTGGTCTTAGTGTCAGCTATTAGGACTACTTCATCCACGTATAGAAGGCTTTATATGAGGACAGTTTTTAAATTCTATTTCACATTTATTATCCACGCAGTTTGGCGCTTGCAGATTTTGTGGATTTCATCCATTACATTTATAAATAGAAGGGGACTTAAGCTATTAGAGTGACAGCTAAAAGTTGTCACACTATTTGTAAATAGATACTGTTGGAATATCACAATAGGAAATTTCATCAAACTATTCACTAATTTAATTTTCTAAAAGGTTACATGATGATTTTTTGTAATAAACGGACGATAGATACCTAAATATTTAAATGTAATATCAGATCTGGAGTTATTAAACTACAGTAAATATATTTAAGGTTATAAACGTATCTATGAAATATTCTTATATTTCACTTCTTCTATCACACAAGTATAATGAAATAGTAGTGGATACTGTTGGAATATCACAAAGAGAAGATTCATCAAATTGTTCAATAATTTAATTTTCTAAAAAGTTAGATAACATTTCATAATAAGCTGATGTTGATACCTAATTATTTAAATATAATATCAGATCTAGAATTATTAAACTACAGAAAATGTATTTAAGGTTATAAAAATATGCTTTATGCATCCATGAAATGATTATATTTTACTTCTTCTTTCACACAAGTACAGTGAAGTAGTTTTTAAAACAATGTCATTGCCTTGATTAGGTGAATTTTAAATACTTTTTTCAAACTTAAAAATATTTTAAAAGTTTACATTTAGTAAGTAAATTTCATTTAATTTCTTTGAAAACATGTGATTTATGATGAATAATATTAGTTTTCAAAAACTATTATTTATAATATTTTTGCCACTCTCTGTTACCTTCTACAACTTTCTATATTCAATATTGTTTTTTCTAAAATTCTCCGCCTTCCAACGATATATTATACGTATATCTTCTCATTGGTATTTCCGGAGATGATTCATTTTCGACCTGGATAAGCATTTTTATTTTTTTCGCCTTTATTAACTTATCAAATTCTTTTAAAAGTTGTATTTAGAATAGAAAATAATTTATTTAGCATTTTTTCATAACTCTAAATAATGTGAGATGATTAATTTTTTTAAATAAACCATATTAAAGGTACTTTACAGGAAGACGTATATGAACATTGGGCATTTAAGCACTATAAAGTGACATCAATGGGGATAAGACCTGATTGATATTAAATAACACTTAATTATAAAATGATACACCGAGATTAATCAAAATTGTTGGAGCCGTTTTTGAGAAAATTGTGAAAATGTGTTTCAGCGTTAAGTGGCATAAAGTGGCACTTCTGGTAGCCGATTTTAAGGAAAAAGTTGCTGTCACATCTAAGACATATATCTATCTTAACTAAGTAATATCATTTTCGTACAACTTTTCGTTTTTGAGCTATACTGCTAACATACAGACACATAGACCATTTTTCGGGACTTGGCTATTTGGACTCTGGGTACCCCAAAACGTGTATTTCCGTTGAAAACTCAGATTCAAAAATTTTCATGATTGCAATACTTACTCTCACTATATATTGCATTATATGTAAGTGAAAGTAAAAATGTCAAATTTACAAACATTCGTAAAAAGAAAACACTTCTTTAATTTTGGATTAAATACTTTTTTTAAAAAATAGTTCTATCATTTCACTTTATGTTTTATATTTATTTGCAATATTGAAAAAAATTGTGGTATTTTGCATTTCTGAAAAAAAAAAAAAAACATCAACTTCTAAAATGACATTTTATTTGTTTTAAAATAAACAAAATAGCAAATGAACCTTGCTCTCACTTTTTAAATTGATTTCATGTAGAAAGGTAAATAATAATCTTAAAACGTCCAGAAACAAGAGCTGGAGTATTATTGGGTATTATTGGTTTAGTGGGTGCATCAGAGCTCGATTCCTCGCCACCATTTTTCCTCTGAGTGAGGAACCTGGTAGTTTTATAGACCTTAGTTAATTCAATATTTTTGTGAGGTTATATTTAACATTTTAGGTTTTATTCAAAAAGTTAATTTATACTGTATTACATGGTTGATTCCAAACGTTACTGGCAAGACACTTACTGCCTTCACTTAGATTTTATGTTATTTTCAGTAAATTTTAATTAATTTTTACTTTATTTAATTAGTAAAAAAGTCTTATTTCTGATTTTGTTTGTTTCCAATGAAATTCAACTAGCTTGTTGTGGTCTCGATTTCCTCCTTAATCATCAAAGTTTTGTGAACTTCAATCATATTTTTATATTCCAGCTTAAATTAGTTTTGTTTTGAGTGGGGGAAAACATTGGTCTCATTAACTGCAAACAAAGAAAAAGTTGAATTTTTTAAATGTATTTTCGCTCCATCCATATTACTAGTGAAAACATACCTATAAGTTTTTAATACATCGCTACTGTTAGTGTAAAAGGTCTTATGTAACAATTTTTTCTTTTTAGTCTATTGGTGCTAAAGGTGACATTTAGTAATATGCAACTCATATAGGAGGTAGCCTGGTACTATGAAAACCAGTAGAGGAAAATAAAATATGAAATTACACTGATAAATTATAAAGAAATAATTAGTTTTTATACTCTGCTCTACAATACTCAATTTTTACATATGACTTTTCTTACTGACAGTAGCGACTTACAAGTTCAGTATGTACTGGGATTTGTTCACGATTTATCAAATACGCGATTCGCAAATGTAGGATTCTTCCACATTTTAGTATTCGCTGATGAACGAAATTGGTGGACATCAAACCTACGAATGTTAAGAAATCGCTGTGTTTCCGAAAATGGCTTCTCTCGGAGATTTTATTCTCCTATAAAAAATTATTGACTTTGAAATATAGATACTGTTCAGCCAATGAAAACGGTGAGGAAGTTATACTGGCCTTACTTGGCAGACATTTTTTACTCAAATTGAATCACTATTGGAAATTCAATCACTACTTCAGTTAATCTTTTGACATTAAGTGAAGTAGTAATTCAATTCTTTAGTACTCGAAACATCAGTATTTTGTATAAACATCAGTATTCAAATATCCGGCCATTTTTCTCAGAGTCTATTGGCAGGAAGTAATAGTATACTTTATAGCTGTATTGTTTATTTATGATGAAACCCGAATCATCATCTTGAAAATAAATCTTATTTATAATAAATCATAATTTCTGATTAGATTTAAAAATAAAAAATAAACATGTACATAATTTACAAATTCATACAATGCAGGTCTATTTTATTTGATTTTATTGGAGAGATTGACATGAACTAAGTTATAACAACTAAACAAATAAAAAACAACAAGATATAATGAGCAAGAAAATAAACTATTAACTAAAAGAACACAGGAAATTGATAAGCTCAGTATCTTAATTAATTAATCAACTAAATATCCAGCCATTTTTCTCAGTGTATTGGCAGGTAATAATAGTATACTTTATTGCTGTATTGTTTATTTATGATGAGCCCCAAATCATCATCTTGAAAATAAATCTTATTTATAATAAATCATAATTTGTGATTAGATTTTTAAAAAACCAAACATGCACATAATTTACAAATTCATACAATGCGGGTCTATTTTATTTGGTTTAAAATTTCTTTATAATTTTCTCACTACTTAATTACTTGTTTAATAATTTGTCAATCACAGATGTAAAACTGATTTCAACTTTTACCTAATGATCTAACTAAGAGAGCGTGTTCTCTTGTCTGTCCCCCACTCTCAAAGCCAGTTTCAAACTCTCCTCTTGTTGAATCAACAACTAAAAGAGCAACATCAGCTTGGGCAGCTCCAGTAATCATATTTGGAATAAAATCTTTGTGTCCAGGAGCATCCAAGAGAGTGACTATTTTAGTATTGGTTTCAAATTTGGATTGTCCAACATCCATAGTAATACCACGTGATCTAGAAGAACAGAACAGTAAGAACAGAAAAAAAACAACAACTGGTGTTTGGATGTATTAAATTAAACAATAATTTTTTATATATATTATAACTCAATTTTGGACAAAAATGTGTAAGGTATCTACCTTAATTTGTTTGTTCATGCCCAATCAAATGGTATCAAATTAGAGAAAAAAAAATTGACAAAAACACCGTCTTTTCACTATCACTTCATATATTGTTGACAACACAGCCTAACTCAAGACTGCAATGAAGTCAAGTTGCCAGGATTCTTGTCCTATTTTTCCATAGGTAAATTATAGAACAAAGATCCATTAAACAAAAATGCAAAATCTTAATAAAAACAGTTGTGATGATGTACCTACTAGTTTGTGAACATAAATTATTTTCTAAGTTTGTAGAAATGGATAAATTCAACCAAAATAGTGAGTACTCAGTAGCTAAATATTGTTGACCTGGTTGTTTTTGCTTATAAATCCAAGAAACTAATGAACTACCAATTTTAACCAAGGTTCATCTTCCCAAAGTAAAACGGCACATCCCTGCCCATCCTGTGAAGAAATTGTATTTCTCACTTCATCATTAAAATGATGTCCTAAATGTGGGTTAACTGTCCATTATTGTCTAGATTGGAAACTTTGGGTTCCATAGCTGCTTAAACAAGGGCACCAAGAAGTGGAGAAAGCATTGATGAAGAGGTCTCATTTTGTACCACATAACCAAGCCTACAGAATGTCTTTATCTTGGTCAATGTTATGTAGTCCTCTCAGACTAGGATTGTTATGTTCGATTCCTAAATTCTTCAACCAAAAATGGGGTTTTTAATCCAAGCTTTATAGCTTAGGCAAAGATGTTGATCCTCTGTATGTAGTCCTGTGGATGAGGAACATGAGGCCTCCTTCAGCTAGCTGCGGCCTCGGAGGCAGCATCAGGCCCTTATCAGTTTTTATGAGATTTTCATTTATATTGCATTAGAATTAATGAGTACTTGATTATTTACGTTAAAAATATTTGAAAATTAATATAATTAAGTTGAATATATGTGTATGGTTGTGCATTTACTTTAAAATTAAAAATACTAATATTTAATTTAGTCGTTATTTGACCGCACCCCCCAACCAACTCCTTCTCATATTATATCACGGTCAACCATTTCTACATCATTGTAAATAATTTAGAAATTGTTTTAAAACATTAAAGAAATATTTTGTTGCCATAATGTACTTTTGAGATTAAATCAATTTTAATCTAAAAGAACTCAGATAATAAATCTAGAAAGATTCATATAATCTTCTAGATTAAGAACCTTTCAGTCAGTTATAACATAACATAGTCTAACTTTAATTATTTTAACCAATTTGGCATTTCAACAAGATTGAGAAAATTTTGATAGTGGACAAATAAGAAAAGAGGAACAGAGAAGGTTATTTTGTGGTCACATGTTTTTAATTTTCTGTCATAGAGTTGTAGTATTTGTAAATGATTGTAATAATCGTATATCACGAAATAAATGATACTACTTCTTAATTGTAATAAAAAACATTTAGCCTAGCATTATTTTGACCTAATTCCATATTTTGCATTTAAATGGTACTACTTGGGATAGCATCTGGGAGAACCTGGGTATCGCCTGTTGGAGTGGTAGTGGAGCAGTGCCAACTGAAATGATCCGGCCATGTAAGTTGAATGGACGATGAAAGGAAGATTAAGTGGTTGATGGAGGCCAGCCAAGAAGAAAGCGCCCATGAGGCCCGCCAAGGTAAATGTATATGGACTATCTCAAGAGGCTTGGGAGAGTAAGAGGCTGCTCTTAAGTAGAAATAAAGGATATGGCGAATGATAATGAGAATTGGAGAAGTGGACCGAGACCGAACCCTTCACACCTAGAGATAGAGAAAGAAGAAGTAATTGGTCAATATGTAGTGTATGAAAGAAATCCAATAAAAACCAGGACCGCTGAGTAGGTAAGTATAAGAAACCTGCCAGAATGACAAATAGAAATATTCAGCCATTAGTAAATTTTTTTTTTTTTTTTTTTTTTTTTTTTTTATTTGTTTATTTAGAAATATTACATTCTGTCACATCAAGGACATTTATAATAGTGTTCAGAGAAAGCACACTCACACTCTATTTACAATAAAAAAATAAAATAAAATAATACAGAAACTTAATAATAATAAATACAATAAATAAAATAAAAATAAATACAATAAAATAAAATAAATGTATATAAACAAAAGAACTAACCTAATCATACACACTCGGGCTTGAGTGGAGGATCTGGCCATTGCCAAAACTCCAATAGATGCTTATTTACAAAAGGTCTCTGGGCCACTGCCGCTTCAACCTTCGAGGAGGATTGTAAGGATGGGTGGTGCTGAATAGAGATTGTGCAAGGGGATTTGGATGATAGGTAAGGTTCTGGTGAAATTTGGAGAATTTTTCTGGAATAAGGTCTAGGACAAATGGGATATTAAGGTCATGGTGTAGGATTTTGTTATTTACATAGAACGGAGCATCAACTATTGTTCGAAGGACTTTAGATTGAAAGGATTGAATACGTTTGATGTTAGAAGCTTTTGCTGTACCCCACAGTTCAAGTCCGTATGTCCATATAGGTTTCAGTATTGTCTTGTAGATAAGTAATTTGTTTTCAATAGAAAGTTTGGATTTTCTGTTTAGTAGTCTGTATAGCTGGCCGTATCGTCGGTTGAGTTCTTGTCTTTTGAGTCTAGTATGTGGGTTCCACGTCAGTCTTCGGTCTAAAATTAGTAAATTAAGAATTTAAATATAACAAAGTCCAAATTTAATATATTACCTTTCTTCACCAGTTTCATCCAATATCCATGCATAAATAAACGATTGCTTTCCTATTTTTTTACTTTCCTGTTCAAATTTGTGCATCACTTTAGAGCTAATGTGGCCCAATTTGTAAAGTAAATGACCCATCAATGTACTTTTGCCAGCATCTACATGACCAATAACCACCATATGAAGTTGAGACTTGGTGTCACCACGCTCCTTTTGAAACAACTCTTCAGCTTTTATTGTATTCCTATGAAAAAAAAAAGAAAGAAATAACTTCATACAATATATTTGTAAGATTTAATCAATGGCAACATGTATTCCATCTGAACATTTTGTTCTTTCAACCCATGATGCTGAATTTGAAAAACACTAAAAATATTTTATGAAAAAAAAATTGGATATTATTAGTCCATCAAATGATAGGAATTGAGTGCAGGATAAACGCAACAGAGGGGAGACATAGTTTCTAGTTCAGAGGCGTCTTCACAAATTGAATATAGCATCTAGTATGTGCTTGACATGGATGCTGAGATACTGTTACTTCACCTCAAGTTGGAATCTGATGAAGAAAACAATATACAATACTTGCCTTCAGTATTACTTAAAAATCAATAGGGAGAGAAACCTAAGAACTTTTTGACAAAACAAACCAGCCACAAATTCAGCGCAGGGAAGACATAGTAGAGGGACAACAGATGAAACAGAGGACCCAGTTCAGAGCCGTCCCATCGCAAACAGAGCCGTGATACTAGCCCTTAAGCCAGGGCCCAAAAATCGACCTCATCGCAGGTGAAGGTTTGAATCTAAATTATGAAAGTGTATGTTATTCTGAGTAAAATAAACCTTGTCTGCCGTTCCAGAACCACTGCTTTAAAAAATGACAGCTGATTTAAAGAATAGTAGGCCAGCAACTTAGGGATCAAAACGAGAATCTATTGCGAAAAATGTGAGAAAAGCATTTATTTTTTAAACATATATATATATATATATATATATATATATATATATATATATATATATATATATGGTTTTAAATATGTATAAAACAAAATTGGTAACGCGAGCCACTAAGGAAAAACTTTTTACAGCCAAAATAGTAAGATTTTTTTGTTTTATTCATCTATAACTCCTAAACGATGGATGCATCAAAGCGAAAAATGTACTCTTTAATAAATTAAAGAATGTTAAATTGTGCATTGAAGAACGGTCAACCAATGCTGGTTTTTACCAAATTTATCAAAAACTGAGAAAAAAAAAAGAAAAAACTGGTCCGTAAGAGGAAAAATCCTCAGAATCAAGGTTGTAGAGCATCAAATTTTGCGTCCACTGAGTACCAACTATTTTAATGGTCACTCACTCCGAACAAACTCGGTAATCTCCCGAAGGTTAGAAATTGGTAATGAAGGTATAGTGATTTTCAATATTTCAACAGTATGGGTGTCTATTTACTGAGATATTTTTGTTTAGAGTCTGTTATATGTAGCATAAGCCTCTTTTCCACTTCTCAGCAGCTAAGGATAAATGATGTGTCGAAAGATACCGAAGAAATAACGAAACCCGATTTGAGATATATAATTGGCCTTCAATAAAAATGTTACTACTCACTGAACGGAAAATTTGATGCTCTACAACTTTGATTCTATGGGTTTGTCCTCCCAAAGAACTCATTACCAAGTTACATACCCATTTATAGTGATCTGTCTCAGTTTTTGACAAATTCAGTAAAAATCTGCTTTGGTTGATGGTGGTTTTATACCTTACCACGTAACCAATTTATCAAGTTTATGTACTTATTTGCCGCACAATTTAACGCTCTTTAATTTATTAAAGAGTATACTTTTCGCTTTGATGTATCATTTAGGAGTTATAGGTGAAAAACGAAAAAAATTCTACTTCTACTTCTAAGTTTTTCCTTGGTGGCTCGCGTTAGCAATTTTTTTTTTTACATCTCTAAACCGATATATGCAAGTTACAAGAATATAAAATTTTCTCACGTCTTTCGCTTCAATGGATTTCTTCTTTAAATCAGCCGCCATTTTTCAAAGCAGAGGCTATGGAATGGCAGACAAAGTTCTTTTTACTCAGAATAACATACATTTTCGTAATTTACAATCAAACCTTCGCCTGCGATCAGGTCGATTAATGGGCCCTGGCTCCAGGGCTATAAGAAGGTACAAAGAGTTGGAATGATATAAGTGGAAATCACTAGCGGATCCAGGATTTAATTTTGGGAAGGGGGCTTCAGCCCGAAACCTTTTTTTTTAAATAAAAATAACGATAATTACTTTGGAAAAACAGAAGAAAACTAACTACCTATATGAAATGGTGTTTAAGTTATTCCTTAAGTACTTTTAAATGTAATTACACGAACAATAATACTTTAAGAGGTATTTCTTAAATTTTTTTCCCATAAAACATGGTTATATTTTTCCATTTTGGGGGAGGGCTTCAGCCCGAAAGCCCCCCCCCCCCGTAGATCCGCCCATGTCTGCCTCTGGTGGGATCATTACTGAGTAAGTTATTATAAGCTGCTCAAACCGAACGAAACTATCACGAGAGATCGCTATCGACTGTATTAATGCGTTTGAGCCTAACCTAAAGGATAAACGGCCGCTAATGACAAGGTGATTTTATTATAAGAGGTATTTTTAATTTTTTTTTAATATTTTTCCATTTGGGGGAGGGAGAGGCTTCAGCCCGAAAGCCCCCCCCCCCCCCGTAGATCCGCCCGTGGTGGAAATCATCTGTTGTCCCTCTGACTATTGACCTATGTTCACAACACACTTTTCAACGTCCTCTGATCCTACCTTCTCTAGCTCGTATTCCTTTCTTCAAATATTCCGAAATGAAAAGTAGAAAAATCATTCAACTTTGTTTTTCTTTTAGCTTATCTCCAAATAGTTAAACAATTCATGGAACTACTTTAATTGATTTATGTGTTGACGAAAAATAAGATGAAAAACAAATGAAAAAAACAACAAAAAATTGTATGATGATAGGGGTACGAGGGTGAAAGGCGAGAGAGTGAAATTTCCGCGAGGGCTAATGGATTTGAATAATAATACTTTTTCAATATTATTTTCTTTTATTTCGGTGTCGTATATTTTTTCAGTATCTATTTTTTTATATAAGCCAACATTACACCAATGTTTTCACTTCCACAATCCTACTACTCGTCGAGCCATTTTCAAGTCTAAACAATTTCTAAATTCACTGTCATAATTAATATTCTTTTGTTGACATGTGGGCTGACACATAATATGGTAATACAATATTATATAAATATTTTATTGAGAACAAATTTTATAATAATAAAGTAATATAATAGTTACAAATAGATGTGACGAGTATGATACTGGCTATTATGAGAAGACGCATGTATTTCACATCAGAAATGTAATGGACAAGTACATGATAGGTAATTATAAAAAATTGTATATTTAAAAATATCTATTTTTAAAAAAATATATCAATGATTATACAAATAATCATGCATGAAAAGTTAATAAATGTATATTAGGTATGACTGTGAATTGAAAAAAATGTTTTAGACTTGAAAATGGCTCGACGAGCCGAAACGTAGTAGGATTGTGGAAGTGAAAACATCGGCATAATGTTGGCTTATATAAAATATTAGAAACTAAAATTATACTTTTGTTCTCATGGTGTTTATTTTAATTAGTCATCAATATAATAACAAATCAGGATTAAAAAATAACTGATAATACAAATATCTCTATGATAACAAAAAATGTATACGTATAAAAGTTTGGAATAGCGGATAAAATTATATTTGTTATTTACACAAAAATTATTCATAAAACAATGTAGGCATTTTTAATCATGTTAAAGTGAAAATTAATTGCAGACAAAATTGTTAAAACTGTTTTTTATTTGACTTATGTATGCTTTATAATAAAATTTAGAACACTATAACT